CTACAAGGAAACTAATAAAGTGTGTTTTTGAGTAAAATATTGATAGCTTAGTACAAAATAAATAAATTTGCCAAGTTTGATCAAAATATATTCATAAACAAGCAAACTACAACATTTGACAATATTCTCCATAAGAATAACATGGGAATTTTAAATTTACAATTTTTTAAATTTTCTCCGTTACTAATAAAATCGAACAAAAAGACTTTTATATACTAAATTATTTGTTTTTTTAAGCTCTTTAAAAAAGTCTAAAGAGAAATTGGGAAATTTTGTGTTTTGGGGGTCAAAAGTGAGAAAAATCAATTTTTACCCCATAAAACCCCCCGTAAAGCCCCGTTCCCACTGTCCGATCGTGCCGGTTCGCGAACTCATTCAAGTTAATCCCGCTTTACACCTTTAAACCAAATTTCATCAAAATCGGAAAAAAATTACTCAAGTTATCGCGTTCACGGACATATATATATATATATATATATATACATATATAAAAATTTGAACGAATAGTGTTTTTGGCCTCTGGGGACATCAAAATGAAAAGGTAAATCAGTCCCGGGTCTAGGTCTTACCGTGCCACCTACGGTAATAGCTACTTCCCTATAGGGAAATTCGCTAATAAAAATAAATATTTAGGGTTTAAATAAACTTGCAATACAATAAACAATCGAAACTTGTAACATATAGAGTTCATAGCAAAATAATATACTGATGAAAAGTTAATATATGCTATATACATCAAGATGTAATCTAGTGATAAATGAAAAATAATCAAGAAAATATTATTGATTGTGGAATAAAAATTTTAATACAAATTTCCCTATAATCTTAAAGGATAATTAAATTATCTTAATCCTTATAAATTAAGAATACATATAAAACTATTTTCTCTCCCAGAAGCCTCCAAGTTTTACACCCGTGTCCAATCACGTAGCAAATGCGTTTTTTATCACCTGAGGGATCAAGACGAATCGTGCACACAATCTTTGATGTAAAACCCCAGTTACCAAATAACTAGGAAATCTATGTGACAGTTTTATTTCTTCAATTATATTAATAAGAGAGTTAATTGAACTGGAAAGGTTTTTAGGTTGTATGATTGCTATAGACTTAAGACTTTAAATCCATGCATAGGTTTTAATATTTGAATAAGCATAGGGTATATTCTATTCTAAAAGTTAAAAATTGCTTGAAGATTTATCCGATTGCTTCAAAATATGTCATAGTTTATTGTAGTATTGTTCGGCTTTCATTTGGTTGTAAAATATTAAAAACCTAAACACTAAGTTATTTTTGACAAATATAAGATATCATTAGTTAAGAATCATTCAAGATATATGCTATATTGCATTATAACTAGCTGTTTGTAAATATTTAGGCTTATTCGTTTCAATCGTCTTGTTTGGTATCAATCATATATGAAACAAGTTTTTATTTGCTCAATATACTCATTACTATGTTATAGTTTTTGACATATGAGTTATTTTAAATTAATTTATTGGTATTTGTTTTATACAGTATTGCAAAGGATCTTTTGTAAGTAATAAATTTTATACAAATTCAAAACCCCCATTCTAAAACTACATTTTGTTTTATGCTTCTAATAATTTTTTTTTTAAATTGCCGTTTTACTTTAAAGTATATAACAGGAATAAGGTTTTCGATCTCAGTTCCAAGAACTATTGCCAGAAATGTGTAGAAGGCCGGCAATAAAAGTTTTAGTAAATTTTCTGTCTTTCTCGCTTCTCCCTTACACTTTTCATCGCTTTTCCTACAAAATAAGATTACGTAAATTGTGAACCAAGCAATCAAGAATGTTTAAAAAAATATATTTTAAGTGGCATAGTTCCTTATGGCATTTGTTATATTTGTAAGATTGCAGGTAAGGCTGAATACGTTACAGTTTCAAATTTACGATCAAATGAGTTTAAACTTTTGTAGAAAAAGCTTGTTGATAACTTTACGGCCCTTCTAAAGTTTAAGGTTTAGTGCGCTGTGAACATCAAAATCAACATTATGTGTTACCTATACTATATGTTGCCATTACATATAGTATACCAGTCTGATATAAGTAGGTATCAGTATGTAGTCATGATAAATCATCATTTATACTGTTATCTATGCCGCAAAAATAGTTATTAAGGCTATTAACAACAACTACTGGGTCAACCATACTCTTCGACTCTTTTCCTGCTCCTTGGCTTTTTAAAGTTTTCCACACCTGCTTAATGGGTTTATTTTCTTGTAGAAGTTGAGCTATGTAATTATTTCTAGCATCTCTTAACATTCTCCTAACTCTATTCCGTAACACTCTATACTACTCCCAGTTAAATTCATTTTTATTTTTTACGTATCTTCTATAAAACAAGTCACGTTCTTTCATTACCGATTTTAAGTCAGCGTTTATCCATGGACATGGGTTTTTTTCTTTTTAAAACCTTTCTTTCAGGTACATGTTTATCATATACACTAATAATATTATTTTCTAAGATTTCGACTTTCTCATCAAGTGAATCAGTAAAATACAGATTATCCCACTGCAACTCATTACATTGTGCTTTTAACTCTGCAAGGTTAATATTTTTAAAGCTACGTACAACTAAATATTCTTTATCCTTAAAAAGCTTTGCTTTCAAATTAAATTCAACATAGATTAAATCGTGATACGATATCCCAGATACAGATAACTGACCATGACATTTAATTCTGTTCAAATCATTTGTCAAAATCAAATCTAACCAGGAATCACTATCAGGTCTGTGATAAGTAGGATTCAGAGGAAGTATGTGCAAATTCAAACTATTTACTAAAGCAAGGAATTGATTTTTATCGTTTGATACACTATCTATATTAAGATTAAAGTCGAAATCTCCCAAAATTACAATATTATCATATATGGGAATTAAATCAGCTAATATTTAAACAAAACTCTGAGATGAATCCAGCTTTAGGTGGACGATAAACAGCACACAATAATATTTTCCAATAACTATAAGATACCTCTGCAATAACAAATTCTGTTTTTTTACAATATACTGCCTGTGAGGTAAATAATACCTTGTGTTTAAAGCATGATTTGATGTACTTTGCCTTCTCTATCATGGCGGATAATCTCGTAACCATCAATTGACACACTTGCAGATGATATTCTGTAGCTACAATTATATCAAACAATTGATTTTGAAAAGTATAGAAGACTGAGTCTCTGTGTACAATAATGTTTTCAACATTTACATGAGTTATTTTTAAACAAGACCTGGTATTAACAAATTTATCTTTAAGACAACTTTAAGGCCCTCCATTTTCTCTATCAGTTATCATATTGTCATACATTGCAACAATACAAGAAACAATACACTAATTCCTCTCATTGACAACATTATCATACACTGGTGGAAAGCAAACTTTTAGAACTAGAACTTTAAGAAAACACTCAACTTATTGATAGTATCAACACAAACAGTCTTACTCACCATGAGTACTCATGACAGTTTGTTAATGTCTTCCAGGCTGTTCATCAACAATGCAGGCCCTTTTTCTTCTTTTCACATGAAGATACGACCATCGGCGACCCACACGTATGCGTAGCCCTTTTCCTTCTTCATATCTCGAGCTGCTCGTAAGATATTGCGCTTCGTAGGTGTCAAGCTGTTGTTCACATATATTGTAGATGCTTCACCTCCCATGAACCCTAAGTCTCTTGAATTAAGGTCTTGTTTGGCTCTTTTCTTTTTGTTGAACTTGTCATGCCAAGTCTACGGACGAATTTGACCACGATCCCGCCTGGCTTGGTGTTGTTTCTAGATTTCGTACGGAAACAGTGGTCAACCATGTTTTCGTTGAATTGAAAATCAATGACGTTAGATATATTTTCCAAAACTTGCATTACATTTTCTTCTTTATTAGAAGGGATACCATGAATTTCCAAAGTATTGTTTCTTGAAGCCTGTTCCAAATCTTCAACTTTATCGTTTAACTCCCCAACTTTCTTTTTTAAATCGATGTTTTCTTGACGTATGGTGTTTATGTCTGAAGTTAAGTCCGTTATTTTTACAGAAACATCCTCTAGTTTATTTGCAATTTCCTCAACCCAATCCGAATGTTTGCTCATGTTTTCAGTGAGTTCTTTATGAGTGGAGTGTACTTCTGCACGAAAAGACCTCATTTCCTCAAAAAGATCTTTGAGGGTAATATCACTCAGGTTTATCTTATCAAGAGGCCGGTTGGATAGATAAGCGGCCGCTCCACTCTGCATGTCACATTCTGCACAAGTCCACGTGGACTGTATTTTACTATAGTCATCTTTTTGTAACGAAACACACCTAAAATAATACACACCCTGACATTTTGTACAAATGGCTTTGTAAGCACTATGTGCAAATGATTTATTAAATTTCGGACAAAGCAATTTAGATTTATTACTGGTATTTTTACCTTTAGACCTCGCTTCAAGATTGTCAGATTCATCGGATTCGACACTTTTAAAAGAAAACATTTTATCAGATACTGGTGTAATTGGAGTATTGTCACTACGTTTTATTTTTTTTGCCTTCGCAGTCTTGACATTACCAATTAAGATTTTTGTCCGTCAGATATTTAAAATCATCTTCAGTTACGTTGTTAAGGCATGTTAAATGAAAATTCTGAGAACATTCAATACATTTGAGATACTTACAGATACCTTCAACCAACATCTTGATCACACTGGGAACACTTCATTTTTGACTATCAATAAATTCTCACTAGTTAAACTCGATTCATTAAAGTCTCTGATTCATTAAACTTACTTTTGAGGTTAACAGTGATAACACGACGTTCTATTTCTAATACAAGAATATTAAACACACATCTTGTTTCAACAAACTCTATTTCCAACTAAACTAATGTTTACCAAAACATGTTTACAAAAATCATCTGTCAACAAAAGATATTTAAACACAAATAAATCATATGACTAAAAGAACATACTTAATACAACATCCCGCCTCAAGATGTCTACATCTTCATGAAGCTCGGTACCGCCTCGGTATCTTGATGGACCTTCCGTAATGGGTAACTGTGCCAGCGTCTGGACGATCACGTGAGTTAGATGGACAATTAAGGACCGTAGATGAACAGTTTGAAAGAATGCAATCTTCTCCGTAGTATGGTGCAGGAACTAAGAACTTCTGGTTTCGTCGAATGGTTTTCTTGTCAATGTCCACAAGGTAGGAACGTGGTTCGTTCAATTTCCTGACTACTTTACCATGTCTACGTAGATCTGTGATCCATACCATGCTTCCCTCTTCTAATTCACTTAAACCCCTCGTTCCATGTCGTTTATCAAATTGCATCTTATACTTCGACTGGTACTTATTCTCCCTCTCAAAAAAGTCTTTATTTTCCACAGGATTTCCAACCAAAGTAGATGGAAGATTGTCTCCTATTTTCCCTCCAAACATAAGTTTTGGAATCAATGGTTCACTGTGATTAGTTGAGTTCTGAATACACACTGGACACGATTTGCTTTTTCTTTCTATTTCTTGAGAAATTCCAGGCCACCACATGGTTTCCAAAGCACGTTTCCTTGTTTTTGTGATTCCCAAGTGTCCACTGTGAAGCCTCTCAAGCATTTCCGCTCGTAGTTCATGAGGTATTATCATCCGAGTTCCTTGAAGCAATAACCCATCAATACAACTTAACTCGTCTTTCACGTTAAAGTATTCTTGAATCTCATTAGGTAAACTTGATTTTCCAGGCCATTCGTCTAAAATTTTTAGCTTGAGTTGTGCACATATTGGATCCCTCATTTGTGAGTGAAGTACTTTTGTCACATTTTCATCTGTAGTGTTTATTCTAATCATACTGATTTCATGGACGAAGGCTTCTACTTCTTTTGTCAATTCGCCATCTTCATTAGCCGGAATAGGACATCTCGATAGCAGATCTGCTATGGCAAGGTCTTTTCTTGGGGTCCAGGTCATGCGATAATCGTATCTCATCATACGCATTCGGAATCGCTGTAGCCTCGGTGAGAGCTCGTCCAAATTTTGTCTTTTGAAAATTGAGACAAGCGGTTTGTGGTCGCTCTCAATTGTGTACATTTTACCCATCAGGAAACATTTTAAACGGTCACTTGCCCAAGTGCACGCAAGCGCTTCTCTCTCAATGTTACTGTAGTTTTCTTCAACAGGCATTAGAGTCCGAGATATATATGCCACAGGTTTCTTGTTTTCTCCTTCAACTTGTAGTAAAACCGCTCCAAGACCTTTTTTTGAAGCATCACAAGAAAGAATCGAGGGCTTTTCCGGATCGTAAACAGTTAAACATGGCTCTGATGATAAAATCTGTTTCACTGTGACAAAAGCTTTTTCCTGAGTTGGTCCCCAAAAGAAATCGTTTTTAGTCTTTAACAAGCTCGTAATTGGCTCTAAAATCTCACTGCAGTTCGGAATAAATTTAGCCAGAAAAGTGATCATGCCCATGAATCTCTGGACTTCATTAGCATTACTTGGGGCTGGTAAGTCCACAACTGCTTGTACCTTGCTTGGATCAGGCTTGATTCCTTCCTTAGACAGCACAAACCCCAAAAATGTCACAGTCTTCTTGCAGAACTCAGACTTCTGCTTATTCAAAGTGATTCCATTAGCTTGCACTCTCTCTAGAACGGCTCTAAGACACTCGTCGTGTTCCTCTTTCGTTCTTCCCCATATCAAACAGTCATCAATGTGCACTAAACAGTTCTTTGCCCCTTCTAAAGCTCTTGACATACGGTGCTGAAACTCTTCATGAGCAGATGTAATTCCAAAAGGTACCTTACAGAATTTATACCTCCCGAAAGGGGTGATAAATGTTGTGTAATCTTGAGACTCCTCTGCAAGGTTCAGTTGCCAGAAACCGGAATTCGCATCGATCTTGCTGAAGTACTTGGCTCCCGCGATCTGGGACAATGAAAGTTCAATCTTTGGAATAGGATAAAACCGACGTTTCACACTGTTGTTGAGTTTGGATAGGTCCACGCAGATCGTAACCCCACCTCTCTTTTTTGCGCAAACTACCATTGGTGCGCACCAATCAGTCGCGTGCTCAACTGGGACAATCACTCCTTTTTCAAGCATATTCTCTAACTGCTCTTTCACCTTGCTTTTTAAAGGTATTGGTACAACCCTGGGGGTAGATATAGCATAAGGAACTGCATTCTCCTTCATTTCTATCTTGTACTCTCCTTTCATATTTCCCAATCCTTGAAATAAATTAGGGTACTCAGTAACCCAGTCAATATCTGATGAATCTACAGAAAAGATCCTCTTCACCAGGTTCAGCTCTTCACAGGAACGTCTGCTAAGAAGTGGAACAGTGATCTCCTCAGAAATATACGCATGATCATAAATTGATACACCCTTATGTTCAAGCTTCAGCCTTAAAGTTCCCAAAATATTTATTCGTTCTTTCTTCTTTGCACTGTACACAGGGGATTTGCACTTTCCTAGAGGCAGAGTCTTAATAAAATCACCAAGAACTCTTACTGGAATCATGGTTACATCAGCGGCTGTGTCAAGTTTAAATTTTATAAGCCCTAACACTTGGTTTCCACAGCTTGCTTTTACCTCCTGGGCCCAGGCTCTGTCATTGTTTTCTATATTCCCGATGAAAATCTCAGGAACCTGTAGATCTCCACAGTCTGAAACTTGCTGTTCGATTTCTTTAACAACGTTTTTGTTTTTTCTCATCCACTTTTCGCGGTAGGGACAGCATCGAAAAAAATGTCCAATCTCGGAACATTTGTCACATTTGGCTTTCCTAGCAGGACATTCGGCCAGTGATCCGTGCCAATCATAACCACATTTCCTGCACTTCTTTGTATTTTCTGCATCCTCGATGTATTTCTGGTCACAAACTCCTTCTGTCCGATTCGGTTTACCGTTTTGAACTGACGTTTTATTTACCAAAAAAACATTAGTATTGGCAAGTTCACGTTTTTGGCGTTCTAGCTCCTCATGTTGGCGCAAGGTATTAATTGCTTTCTCCAGAGTCAATTGAGATTCCAGCTGGAGTCTATCACTCAGACCCTCATCATGCATACCAATAATGAGGACGAGAAGCATCATCTCATCATTTAATTCACCCCATGCACACGTTTTCGCAAGGCCATGCAAATCTCTTATACATTTTTCAGATGGATCACTCCCTTGCTTGTGTCTCAAAAATTTTGATCTCTCATAAATTATATTCCGTCTTGGCACAAAGTATTCATCAAAGGCCCTAAGAGCCTCGTCATAAGTATTAGGTTTTGGTGAAAACGAATCGAAAATATCTTCACTTCTACTACCCATTACAAACAAAAGTACATCGATTTGCCGAGCGTCGGAAGTGCTATCCAGACCGCAACCCCGTCTGTACCTTTGAAAGCGATTCCTCCAGGAATGCCACTCATTCGGAGTAACAGAGAACGTTTCTGGAGTTGGTAACGTGATATTGACCATCGGAGTAGGAGTATACATAGCTGCATCATTTTCTCGGTTCGTATGTCCCAATGAAAAACCTCGTGACTCATCTTTAGTCTTTCTAGAGTCCCTTTCTGAAACGTAGTTGAGTTCACTTTGGGTGTCGTCCTCACCGTTATCCTCATACCTTTGCCTCCGAGTATTTCGTTTTTTTCTGCCCTTACTTGACATTATGCGTGGTTTTAGACTTTCAGTTCGATAAAAATCCACTAAGCTGCCACCATGTTCTATTTCTAATACAAGAATATTAAACACACATCTTGTTTCAACAAACTCTATTTCCAACTAAACTAATGTTTACCAAAACATGTTTACAAAAATCATCTGTCAACAAAAGATATTTAAACACAAATAAATCATATGACTAAAAGAACATACTTAATACAACAAGTGATAACACGACGATGACAGCAGAGAGTCAGCAGAGTCACTAGTCAGTAGTCAGAGAGTCAGCAGAGTCACTAGTCAGTAGTCAGAGAGTCAGCAGAGTCACTAGTCAGTAGTCAGAGAGTCAGCAGAGTCAGTAGTCAGTAGTCAGAGAGTCAGCTGAGTCACTAGTAAGTAGTCAGAGAGTCAGCAGAGTTACTAGTCAGTAGTCAGAGTGTCAGCAGAGTTACTAGTATGTAGTCAGAGTGTCAGCAGAGTCACTATTCAGTAGCCAGAGTGTCAGCAGAGTCACTAGTCAGTAGTCAGATAGTCAGCAGAGTCATAAGTCAGTAGTCAGAGAATCAGCAGAGTCACTAATCAGAGAGTCAGAATAGTCACTAGTCAGTAGTGAGAGAGTCAGCATAGTCAGTAGTCAGTAGTCAGAGAGTCAGAAGAGTCACTGGTCAGTAGTCAGAGAGTTGGTAGAGTCAGTAGTCAGTAGTCAGAGAGTCAGCAGAGTCACTAGTCAATAGTCAGAGTGTCAGCAGATTCACTAGTCAGTAGTCAGAGAGTCAGCAGTGTCACTAGTCAGTAGTCAGAGAGTCAGTAGAGTCACTAGTCAGTAGTCAGAGGGTCAGCAGAGTCACTAGTCAGTAGTCAGAGAGTCAGCAGAGTCAGTAGTCAGTTGTCAAAAAGTCAGCAGTGTCACTAGTCAGTAGTCATAGAGTCAGGAGAGTCACTAGTCAGTAGTCAGAGTGTCAGCAGAGTCACTAGTCATTAGTCAGAGAGTCAGAAGAGTCACTAGTTAGAGTGTCAGCAGGTTCACTAGTCAGTAGTCAGAGAGTCAGCAGAGTCACTAGTCAGTAGTCAGAGAGTCAGCAGAGTCACTAGTCAGTAGTCAGAGAGTCAGCAGAGTCACTAGTCAGAGAGTCATCTGAGTCACTAGTCAGTAGTCAGAGAGTCAGCAGAGTCAGTAGTCAGAGAGTCAGAAGAGTAACAAGTCAGTAGTCAGAGAGTCAGCAGAGTCACTAGTCAGTAGTCAGAGAGTCTGCAGTGTCACTAGTCAGTAGTTTGGGTCAGTAGTGTCACCCAATCCGATGATTTCGAAGTGTTTGTCTAAACCAAGGATTATAAACACCTCACTATGCCCCAGTGGTTGTAGTATATCGCTACAAACACACAGGTCACCAATTATTTGCCACACAGGACGGGGATCGAACCCGAGCAGACGAATGCCACTGGCCAAGTGACACACGCCCTAGCCTTCTCGGCTATCTGTGCTTGAAAACTGAGGAGTCAAAAACCGGTATTTAAGCTGACGCCACCGATTGTGAACAGATAGCGCTACAGATGGTTGTTCAATGCTTTACTAGGTAGCAGCACTTGTTAGTCACGGACTATTTAGATGATATTTTCAGTTAAAACACAACAGTGATCATAATATTGTGTTACTTAATGGTTTATTGTGTATCAAACCATATCCCAGATAGCACATTAGGCTTACCGTAAGGTTTACTCAACCTTGACACTGAAAGGGTACAAGGTTGTCGTAAAGGTTGTCCTGGCAATGGTGTATGGTTTTGCAAAGGTTACGAAAAGGTTATGCTAAGGGTAAAAGTTTACGCACAAAAGGGTGTTTTTTAAGCTTGCATTATATGTTTAGCGTAACCTTTAGATAAGGTTGCTGTATATGGTTGACGTAAGGTTTTATATTTAAAGGTTGTCTTAAGGGTTTCGCTGACAATGCTGCAAGGATTTGCCAAGGCTATGAAAAGGATCTACCAAGGGTAGGTGCTTACATTTAATGTTGGTGTAACCTTTAGCTAAGGTTACTGTAATGGTTGTCGGAAGGTTGTATATTAAAGGTTGTCTATCTTAAAAATTTAAAGGAAAACCAGGAAAATTACAACAAAATCTAAGTTTTACTTAATGTATACGACAAATACCAGGATTTATCTTTGCTATACATTTTCGTATTGTCTTATTATTCAAAATTAGCCTAATTAATAAAATAGTGACCCCCGCGAATTGTGGGGATAAAAATACCCCTGCCTTATTTTAACTAAAAGAAGCAAAACGGCCATTAGTGACCTGCATGTTCATAGGATACACTATCAACCACTTAGCTAAAAGATTCGCCCAATCCGATGATTTCAAGGTTTATGTCTAAACCAAGGATTGTGAACACCTCACTATGTCCCAGTGGTTGTAGTATATCGCTACAAACACACAGGTCACCAATTATTTGCCACACAGGACGGGGATCGAAACCGAGCAGACGAATGCCACTGGCCAAGTGACACACGCCCTAGCCTTCTCGGCTATCTGTGCTTGAAAACTGAGGAGTCAAAAACCGATATTTAAGCTGACGCCACCGATTGTGAACAGATAGCGCTACAGATGGTTGTTCAATGCTTTACTATGTAGCAGCACTAGTTAGTCACGGATTATTTAGATGATATTTTCAGTTGAAACACAACAGTGATAATAATATTGTGTTCCTGAGATATTGCTGCGAAACATTATTTTTCCTAAAATGGCTATATTATAATAACCTCGTCCAACATTATTTAAAGTTAAATTTAATATTACATTGTAAGCTATATGTCTTTTGATTTTATGAGATTTTGGTTTCAAACAATGCTATCAGAACATAAAAATTTAAAGGAAAACCAGGAAAATTACAACAAAACTAAGTTTTATTCAATGTATACTACAAATACCAGGATTTATCTTTGCTATACATTTTCGTATTGTCATAATATTCAAAATTAGCCTAATTAATAAAATAGTGACCCCGCGAATTGTGGAGATAAAAATACCCCTGCTGCAGCAAACCTGCAGACTAAGTAGATTTGATCAAAATATAACCAACCAACCCATATCCTAGATAGCACATTAGGCTTACCAAAAGGTTAACTCAACCTTGACACTGAAAGGGTACAAGGTTGTCGTAAACGTTGTCATGACAATGGTGTGTGGTTTTGCAAAGGTTACGAAAAGGTTATGCTAAGGGTAAAAGTTTACGCAAAAAAGGGTGTTTTTAAGCTTACATTATAAGGTTAGCCTACACTTTAGATAAGGTTGCTGAAAATCGTTGTCGTAAGATTTTATATTTAAAGGTTGTCTTAAGGGTTTCGCTGACAATGAAGCAAGGATTTGCTAAGGCTATGAAAAGGATCTACCAAGGGTAGATGTTTACTTTTAATGTTGGTGTAACCTTTAGCTAAGGTTACTGTAATGGTTGTCGGAAGGTTGTATATTAAAGGTTGTGTATCTTAATAATTTAAAGGTAAACCAGGAAAATTACAACAAAAACTAAGTTTTATTTATTGTATACTACAATTTCCAGGATTTATCTTTGCTATACATTTTCGTTTTGTCTTATTATTCAAAATTAGCCTAATTTATAAAATAGTGACCCCCGCGAATTGTGGATATAAAAATAACCCTGCTGCAGCAAACCTGCAGACTAATCAGATTTGATCAAAATATAACCAACCAACCCATATCCCAGATAGCACATTTGGCTTACAGTAAGGTTAACTCAACCTTGTCGCTGAAAGGGTACAAGGTTGTCGTAAAGGTTGTCCTGGCAATGGTGTATGGTTTTACAAAGGTTACGAAAAGGTTATGCTAAGGGTAAAAGTTTACGCACAAAAGGGTGTTTTTAAGCTTACATTATAAGGTTAGCGTAACCTTTAGATAAGGTTGCTTTATATGGTTGACGTAAGGTTTTATATTTAAAGGTTGTCTTAAGGGTTTCGCTGACAATGCTGCAAGGATTTGCCAAGGCTATGAAAAGGATCTATCAAGGGTAGATGCTTACATTTAATGTTGGTGTAAACTTTAGCTAAGGTTACTGTAATCGTTGTCGGAAGGTTGTATATTAAAGGTTGTGTATCTTAATAATTTAAAGGTAAACCAGGAAAATTACAACAAAAACTAAGTTTTATTTATTGTATACTACAATTTCCAGGATTTATCTTTGCTATACATTGAAGAATGAGGAGTCAAAAACCGGTATTTAAGCTGACGCCACCGATTGTGAACAGATAGTGCTACAGATGGTTGTTCAATGCTTTACTAGGTAGCAGCACTAGTTAGTCACGGATTATTTAGATGATATTTTCAGTTGAAACACAACAGTGATAATAATATTGTGTTCCTGAGATATTGCTGCGAAACATTATTTTTCCTAAAATGGCTATATTATAATAACCTCGTCCAACATTATTTAAAGTTAAATTTAATATTACATTGTAAGCTATATGTCTTTTGATTTTATGAGATTTTGGTTTCAAACAATGCTATCAGAACATAAAAATTTAAAGGAAAACCAGGAAAATTACAACAAAACTAAGTTTTATTCAATGTATACTACAAATACCAGGATTTATCTTTGCTATACATTTTCGTATTGTCATAATATTCAAAATTAGCCTAATTAATAAAATAGTGACCCCCGCGAATTGTGGAGATAAAAATACCCCTGCTGCAACAAACCTGCAGACTAAGCAGATTTGATCAAAATATAACCAACCAACCCATATCCTAGATAGCACATTAGGCTTACCAAAAGGTTAACTCAACCTTGACACTGAAAGGGTACAAGGTTGTCGTAAACGTTGTCATGACAATGGTGTGTGGTTTTGCAAAGGTTACGAAAAGGTTATGCTAAGGGTAAAAGTTTACGCAAAAAAGGGTGTTTTTAAGCTTACATTATAAGGTTAGCCTACACTTTAGATAAGGTTGCTGTAAATCGTTGTCGTAAGATTTTATATTTAAAGGTTGTCTTAAGGGTT